GCCGGAACCGTTGGTTTGAAATCAGCGAACGAAATAATTGGACAAGTTAAGTTTCAAATTTCAATAAAAATTTTGTTACTCTATGCGCCCCAGTTCTGGGAGTATATTAAAATGTAATAGTAATTTATTAGTTATTAGAAGTTTATTTTTGAAATACTACTTTTTTCGTCCTATATTTTTGTAGATTTAGTTAACCACAAAGACTAAAAATAATGATATTTTTAAATGAGGAAATAAAATAAGATATTATAGAAAAAAAATTAAAATTGATAAAAAAAAAAGGTTAATAATTGGATAAATTGAAATATAGTATCAAATTGGTTATTATTTGCTAAAGTAAATATAATAAAATTATGAATGTATAATGTTATTTACTATAAATATGAATTGTACATGAATTTAACCAACAACTAAAAGAGATAGTTATATAATTTTGGTTGAATGAAGAATGTAATTTAACAATGTTATGTAATTATAATATAACAATATTGGTAATGGGTGCATGTATGGTATTATATATATAAGATAATATATGTATAGATGTAATGATGACAAATAAAATTAAGACTATTACGAGGAAAGCAATCGTATATCAAAGTGATTCTACAAGCCTATATTTATAGTTTAGTAAAATATTGAATAATATTATAAGAGGTAATACATCATCAAAAATAAAACCACAATTTTTATGAATATGGTGAGTCATTGACCTCAACCAAACGCATTCACGACTGACTTTGTGAATTGCTAAAACCTCAACATGATTTGAAGAAGTGGTTGTTATCGTTTGTTTAGCAAATCTCCAAGAGATTGTTGTCCCACTAGAAGTAGATAAAAATTCAGTTTGAGATTTTGCTTTATGTGGATAAGATAGATAACCAGCGTCAACATAACCAATTAATTAATGTCGATATTCACTCGAATAAAATAGACCAAGGTTATGAGTCCCTTGAAGATAATGAAAAATGTGTTTGATACCATTCCAATGGCGCTTTGTGGGGGGTGTGCTAAACTTGACCAGTAAATTTAATGAAAAAAATATATCTGGCTTGGTACAATTTGCAAGGTACATTAATGCGTCAATAGTGCTGAGATATGGTACATTAGGGCCAAGTATTTTTTTTTTCATTTTCTTCTTTTGGCCTAAATGGATCTTTATTGAGATAAGGGGATTAACTACCATTGGTGCACTCAAAGAGTGTGATTTATCCATATAAAATTGCTTTAATATATTTTGGGTATAAGCGGATTGATAAATATCCCATTATTAACATGATCAACTTGTAATCCCAGACAATATTTTTCCTTACCAAAATCTTTGATCTCAAATTTTTTCTTAAAATATTCAACTACAATTTGGATCTCTTCAGGAGTTCCAATTAAATTGAGATCATTAACATATATTACAATAATGACAAAAAAGTTGATCCATTTTTTTTATAATACGCATGGGCATATTGGATCATTATTATAAACTTATTTTATTAAACATTCACTGAGATGGTTATACCACATTCGGCGTAATTGTTTAAGTCCATACAATGACTTTTTAATTTGATAAAATATGATTTCTTTGGGTTTAATTTGTATGCTTCAAACATATTGAATCTCTTAGGAACTTTCATATAAATATCAGTATCCAATGAGCCATAAAAATATGCAGTAACTACGTCTAAAAGACGCATGTCTAGTTTTTCTCGCACTACTAGGCTTACAACGTATCTAAATGTATTTCCATCGAAAACTGAAGAATATGTTTTACCAAAATCTACTCTAAGTCTTTATGAGAATCACTGAGTTGTAAGAAAGACTTTATATCCCACAATTTCATTAAACTAATTTTTTTTTTCGTAAAAACGCTCATTTTTATCTTAATGATTTTATACCATCTGGTGTTTAATTAATAGTTCCGAAGACCTCTCTTTTATTTAATAAGTCAAGCTATGATTGAATCATATTTTCCATTTTGGCCAGTAATTTATTTGCCGACATTCATGAACCGATTTCGGCTTAGGAATCCTCATTTCTTCCATTAGTATCAAATGTTAAATTGTATGCAAATGAATTATCAAGTATTGCTTCTTTACGATTCCAATATTTTGTTGAGGTAACATAGTTAATTGAGTTTTCAATAATTTCATCATGTTCTTCAAGATCGTGTTGTTCTGGAGCAAGTATTTCATGGTTGACTTCCTCATTAGATTGAGGTTTATCAATGTCAATCATGATATTTTCATAATTATCATCATTCATTCATCTTTTCTTTCGAGGATGTTTGTCTTTAAACATAGTGGTCTACCACGCTTTAAACGTGTCACTGATTCATTAGTACTTGCAATTTGTCCATCAGAGACAATTATTTTAGCCGGAGCGTTAGTAGTTTGGATATATGATCGAGTGATTTTAATCGAGTCATTGAATGCATCCGGTAACTAATTTGCAATATTTTGTAAATGTATAATGCAGTGAACTTCTAGTTCACACTGTTTTGTACGAGGATCAAAAGAATTCAATGAGATTTTCCAATTAATATCCCTTTCCGGTTCATTTCTATCTCCCCCTAATGTCAGAAAATATGACTCGTGAAAATAACAATCTGCAAATCTTGTAGTGAATAAATCACCCGTCATAGGTTCAAGAAATTTTATGGTTAACAGCGATTCATATCCGATATAAATGCTCAATCTACGTTGAAGAACTATTTTTGTACGTTCGGGGGAGGGGGGGATGGAATAGGAACATAAACAACATACCTAAAAATATGTAAATGAGATATATTTGGTTAGCGACCAAATACTAATTGCATAGGGGAATAGCTATGATAGCTTGTCGGCCTTATTCTTATTAATATTCCTGCATGTAAGATTGCATGCTCTCAATCTTAAACGGGCAATATAAACCTCATCAATAACGGTGTAGAAATCAATTGTAATATTTTAATAAGTGATTTTGCTAGGCTATTTTGTGTATGAACATGAGCAACAGAGTGTTCTATATTAACTTCAATCGACATGCAATGATTATCAAATACATTCGATAAATACTTCAACTGACGATGGTCTGGTTATCAAGTTTCCCTGAGTGCAGGCAACACAGGTTAACTCATTTGATTTAACACTTTTGACCTTTTAATGAATGTCCATATAAATTCTTAATTATTCGTCTCATCATTATACTGTCAAGATACCCAAGATGATTATACCATATTTAAAAATCGGTAGTCTTTCGATTTACAGTGAGGTGTGTTTTAACAACACCTAATCTGGCAAACCAGTAGAGAGTGGGGGTAATCTCTTAATGATGCATTTCTTTTTATCAATAATATTGGTGATCAATAAAAATTCACCATTGATATCACTCATAGTTTTAATGTGATAACCAATTTTTCGAATGTCATGAAAGCTCAGTAAATCTGTTCGAGCTTTAGTGGCCAACAGTGCAGTCCGCGCGGGGGGAAATATAATGGTTTCTCCAAAGCCTTCAATTAATTTTGTACCGCCACTTATTGTATCGATATTCATCTTTTCCTTTTTCAAATGGAAAAAATATTTTTCGTGTTTCAATATAGTATGTGTCATAGCACTATCAATAAAACACATATTTGCATCATTTTGATTGACATCCATTTAACCCTTATATATAAATAATCGCATTATTAATAAAAGCAAATATAAATATAACAAAATATAGTACAAAAAGGTATACGCAATAGTTTAAAGATTACAAAATATGAAATAACATAATGTAAAATGACATAATATGTCGTAATATTAAAATCCGTTATATTAAAATGCGTTGTGTCGTAATCCAAAGATTATCATCAGGGTCGTCATCGTTATTAACGTGATTAGTCTTGACCCCCTTCCGTTTTTTCTGCAGTGAGGCTTGATAAAGATCATCTAGGTGTTTGGTTGTTCTGCAGGTATTGGTCCAATGACCTTCAATACCACACCGATGACAAATGTTGATTTGTTTTTTTTTTTTTTTTTTCTCTCTCTCTTTAGCCTTTTCAGCTACATCCCCATATTGGGGTTTACTCTGTTTCATGTTAAGGTAAAAAAATACGGTGATTGTTAGGAGTATATCGACCGTGTTGACTCTCACAACTGCAACTACGTCCATGGCCTCTACCACGTCCACAGCTTGGTTCAGAAAATGTCGCGTTCGCTTAAGGGAACAGATTGAAACCAATAGGCCGGGACTGATCATTTTTCATCAATAACTCATTATTTTGCTCAACTTATAAAAGATATGCAATGAGATGTGACTATTTTTCAAAAAATTTCTCACGATATTGTTGTTACATTACGCATATAAAAGTTAAAGAGAGTCTTTTCCAATTTATCAGTCTCAATAACATTTTATCCGCAAAGTTTTAACTGTCAAAATTCGGACCGTAAAGAAATGCCCAAATAGTGATGAATGGAAATAATAGTCTTGGCTCGATCTTGGCTTTTAACTGTATTTTTACTGTCATAGAAACCAATACATTTCAACATATAGGGACCAAGTCAAAAAATTATTGTCGGTGGAAAACAAATATGTAAAAACAATTTTTGAAATTTTTTTCATAATTTTAAAAAAATAATATAAATTATATAAAAATAAAACTTATCAAAAATAAAATAAACAAGAATTTTTGTGCTAAAAACGTACGATATAATAATAATATAATTATATTGGTAAGTATTAACTATATATGTATATGGATGCATGTATGGTATTATATATATATTATAATATATGTATAGATGAAATGATACAAATTAAATTGATGGAAAGTCATAATCGAGTTAAAAAGATAAAATTAATATATGTATATGGTATTTAACAAACAATTACTTATAGCATACTCCCTCCATCGTATTTCAATAGTTTTCATTTTTTTTAAAAAAAAAAAAATCTACTCAAAATTCTTTTATTTTTAAAATAAATAAATATTTTTATTTAAATGGGACCGAGGGTATAAATAATCGAATTTTCCTATTCAAAATAGGATTTCGAAGTTCGAACCCCAAAACCAGCAAACAAACGCTACACTTCCAAACAACATTGTCTTCCGACAACTCGTAGGTCTCCTCTCTAAATTTAATCATATTATCCATACAAAAATATCTCAAAATCCATTTTTGGTCAAGAATTCGGAGCCAATCCAGTTCCGCTTCAGGTAACACTGTGCACGGACTGGACTGGTGGGAGAATTGCAAGGGAAGGAATGCCTCATGCTTCAAATATGCTCTTGAAACCTTTCATTTATGCTCCATCCACTTCTACTTGCAGGTTTGCTCACGAATAATCCACAGCGTTACCTTTGTTTAAAATGGGAGTTCCTTCAGGATTCGGTCATAGGTCATGCTAAAATAAGGCTTCAGAATTTTTTAAATGGGGAGTTTATTAGTGCTCATTAAGTGTTTGATGAAATGACTCTGTAAAAGATGGGCAGACCTTTTTGTAGGGATGACGTTGTAGGAAGCTTGAGTTATGAATATACCTACATTAAAGCTCAATTATCTTTATTTCATTGTGGCTTTAGAAACTCAGAATTTGGAACTATCATGAAATCACCTTTTGGATATCAAAATCCATTCGATGTTTGTTCCATTGTTTGATTTGTTGAAACTCGTTCATTGATAATTGATGGTTAGAATGTGCAATGAAAATAGTTGCTAGTTCTCTGGTTATTTGATGTATATATGGACTTGTTGGCTTAACCATGTGAAATTCCAAAGAGGTTGAAGGTTTGAGCGCTTTTGATCGAGTTACCCTTCTCATCTTACTCTACTTGTCATTATATGAATTTGGAATTAACTCTTGAAGCTACATGGAACCTTTTTACAAATCAATCTCTGAATCTTGAAAGTTCGGAGCAAGTTCGCGGGCTCTTGTATTTGGACGTGCGACTGAATTTATTTAAACATTATGTTTTTGAATGGTTTTAAAGAATTCAGCTAAACCAAATATAACTATTGTTGAGCAATATAAAATGGTAGTACAATGTCAAACTGTTGAACCATATATCTGTTAGTGTAAATAATGCGAACGGTGTGGTAAATGTTTATACGTTCAATGACAAATGAAAACTTTTTAACCATGGTATAAAGTTGTTGAATGGTTTGTTTTGAAAGACTAAAAAAAATCTGCCGAACAAGCTACAAAATACTGCAATTTTGCACAGGTCTGGATTGGATTATTTTGATTAAACTACACACCTCGATCGTTTTTACCGCTTTGTATGAAAAAAAGCAAAAGGAAAAAGTTAGAATTTATTAAATATAGTTTGTTTATGCTCTATTTATCAGAAATTTCTCAATGGTATCAAATATATTTAAACTAACATATGATTTTGTATCGAGCTTCAGTATGGTGTGGGTATTTCTGTCGCTTGGAAGATTTTTGCGCTTATAAGTTACTTGTGCCAATATTACTATGTTATTATTGAACTAGGTATTTGACTCATTCTGAACATTAGTTTTAGATGCTATTATATATGCAAAAGAAAAAGGTAGTCATCGTTTTTGAAAGCATGGATATGATTAAGTTGTTTTTGTTTTTTCCCGGTATTTCAGCAAATCCTATGGCAGCAAGAATACTGGTAAAATCGGTGTCAATATTAGGATATGCAAAAGGGGAGAGGTGGTATGCCTGGGTATGCTATCTCCGAGAAAGTTCATGCAGAAGAGGAAGAAACTGGAGGTTTTTAAGGATGATGCAGACGAAGCAGACAAGAGGAATTGGTGGAAACTGATGCTCGAAATAGAGGAAGCTAATTCGGCCACCACAGTGCTCAAGAGCAGAAGGGTTAAGAACCAGGCATTGCCGAAGGACTTGGTGGTCGGGACTCTGGTTAGATTTAAGCAGCTCAAGAAGTGGAACCTTGTTAGCGAGGTATTTTAAGTCCCATTTTCCGCTTTTGATGAATTCTCCAAACATGAAGTAATTATCTAATTTGTATTCCCTTATTTGAGTTCTCCAACCTTTTCACTCTCTAGATTTTGGAATGGCTCCGGACTCAGCATTGGTGGGATTTCAAGGAAATGGACTTTCTGATGCTTATCACGGCATATGGAAAACTAGGCGATTTCAACAAAGCTGAAAGAGTTTTAAGTTACATGAACCGAAAGGGGTACCCACCTCATGTTGGTTCGTACACTGCTCTTATGGAAGCATATGGAAAGGCTGGCCAACATAATAAAGCAGAGGCAATATTTCGGAGAATGCAATCTTCGGGTCCAGAACCCTCTGCAGTAACTTATCAAATAATCCTTAAATTGTTTGTTGAGGTAAAAAATCACGCTCATCTTCTAGTTACCCAAATAAATGATTTTAGGTCTACCTTGTTGATTATTTAAGTTTTTGACCTCATGCAGCATTAACTTTTCGGTATCATGTTTAGTACTATTTTACCAAAATTCTATGAAAATGCTTTAGATATGATGGATTCTTCAGCTTCTATAACATCACACCATTTTTTGACATGCGATAATAAATATACTGAATAAGCATTTGCTTATGGAATCTCTACTGTTTAAATCACTGGAACTCGTTTCTGCTTGGGGCTTCTGCAGGGGGATAAATTCAAAGAAGCTGAAGAAGTCTTTGAAACTCTTCTCAACAAAGAGAGTTCGCCTCTAAAACCCGACCAGAAAATGTTCCATATGATGATTTATATGTATAAGAAGACAAGAGCTTACGACAAAGCGCGAAAACTTTTTGCTTTGATGGCCGAGCGGGGAATCAAGCGAACTACGGTGACTTATAATAGCTTGATGTCATTTGAAACAAGCTATAAGGAAGTTTCCAATATTTTCGACCAGGTACATTCAAAATTCAAAATCTGTGGGTTTGATTGACCAAGTTTGATCAATTTGACAATTCACCATTGCCCGGGAGAGTTTTTTGTGCATGCAAGCTTCTTCATTTATGTTCCACTTACATGTGAATAGTTTTCTTCATTTGTTCTAAGTGAGACAAAGCTACAGAGTTGCATAATTTTTTTGGATTGTACGCTCTTGTCTGTTGATATAGATACAGGTATTTCCGAAGTCGGGAGTATTCATTATATATAAGTTCCTTCAATTTCTCCTTACAAAAATTTATTAAACACATACTCAAAATGAAAGTTGAATGCGTAGGATAAATTTGTACTATAGTTATTACAATGCAGAGGAAAGCATTTAGGGACCTCATGATGCAAGATATAATTGCATCGAAGCGAGGTTCTATGTTTGAATCTTATTTCAATTATTAGTGTTCTATGTGCAATTCTAGAAAAAAGACATCGGCGATTAATTATAAAAGGGTGATTCATCTGAAACCAATAATTGTAAATATGATCATTAATGTGTGAATATCTGGTGCTAGATGGCAAGAGATGACATTCAACCTGATGTGGTGAGCTACGCGCTCCTCGTTAATGCATATGGAAAAGCCAGAAGAGAAGAAGAAGCTTTAGCTGCGTTTGAGGAGATGCTCGACACCGGTATCAGGTGCAGTTAGTTAACGAAACCCTACAATTTTTCCTTGTTAGGTGTGCTTCTCAACTCATGGCTCATTTGTTTTTAGGCCGACGAGGAAAGCATACAATATTTTGCTCGATGCCTTCGCAATCTCAGGAATGGTAGAACAAGCCCGGATCGTCTTCAAGAGCATGAGACGAGACAGGTGAGTCTTTCTTAGTTTCAACAATCGTATGTTTTGATTCGCATGAGATATGTAGAAACATTCAATTAAATTCTTCTGCCCATAAGTATAGAGTGCTGATTAGGGGACTATTTATTTACCTTTCTCTTGTATCAAGCTTGTCGAATTTATGAAATCACTAACTCACTCTATATATTCTTTAGGTGTGCTTGGTTTGTGTTTTGTGTTCAAAAATAGTATTTGAACAATGTTTTATAAAAGAACATAATATATTTTTATAGGAATATTATTAGTCGGGGGAAGGTTACCGTGCTGATTTTCTAAGTCAGCATCCATAAAATAAAAAAACAGCACAAGTCTTTATTAAAAACAACACATGTTGTTTGTAATAATGGCATGTGTTGTTTGTTTATAATTACACGTGTGTTGTACAAGTGTATGTCATATGCTGAAATGAACTGTTGCATGTGCTGTATGAGACTATATCGATAGTTTATGTGTTGTGTTTGTATGATATGAATATAAATAATGTATTGTCACTAACATTAACCCTTGTTGTTTGCTAGTTATCTGTGTGCTGCTAGTTCATGTGCTCTGTTTGTATTATATTAATATAAATAATGTACTGTCACTAACATTTCCGTGTGCTATTTGCTAGTTATCTGTGTGTTGTTCAGCACTGTTTTGAATCTCATATTGTACACATAATATATATAAACAGTAGATGAGATATAAATTGACAATACGAAAGTTCATGTTGATATAATACAAATGAAATGACAATACGTGACATAGTCCACTAAACACATATTATAACTGATCTCACCGCACACATATGAACATGAATTGTCTGATTTATTTTCATGTGCTGATTAAGGATTTCCCCACAATTACATTATGCATAGTAAGTTTTTGTTCGTCGACTGCAGATGTTTTCCGGATCTTTGTTCCTACACAACCATGTTATCTGCGTACATCAACGCAGCCGACATGGAAGGAGCCGAGAAGTTCTTCAAAAGGATAAAGCAAGACGGGCTTGAACCAAATGTCGTCACTTATGGGGCACTCATCAAAGGCTACGCAAAGGAAAATAATCTCGAGAAAATGATAGAGAAATATGATGAGATGCGAGCCAACGAGATCAAAGCTAACGCGACCATATACACTACGATCATGGATGCTTTCGGGAGGAACAATGATTTTGGAAGTGCAGTCGTTTGGTTCAAGGAGATGGCACCTCCCGATCGGAAAGCCAAGAATGTGCTCTTGTCCCTAGCAAAGACTGTCGAAGAACAAATGGAAGCCAAGAAACTTGTGGAAGAAGACAAAGCCCCGTCCGATCCGGTGGCTCACAACGTCGACGACAATGACAATGATGATGATGATGATGATGATGATGATGATGTAGATGAAAATGAGGATGATGAGTTAAGTAATATTGGTGGACTCTATGAAGAAGATCTACATGCGGTTCAAGGATCTTCTTCCTAAATTTGTCTCCAAGAAGACAATTGATACCGCAGTTATTACAATGTCGTAACGCTACGTACCGTTACACACATATATATATATATATATTTTGACTGGTTAGAGGGTTAAATTAATTAGCATTGCTCTGACAGTTTATACTTACACATAAGTTGTCAATATATGACATGATTAAATACAATGTATGTTATATTAATTGTCAGTAAGTTTATATTTTAAAATAGGTTGTTTTTATAATTTGTACTCCCTCCGTCCACACACAAAGTAAACGTTTACTTTCGTACTCCCCCTCCGTCCACACACAAAGTAAACGTTTACTTTTGGTGCGGTGTTTAAGAAATAATAGTATTTTAATTATAATAAGTAGTTAAAAGTAATGTAATGACATTTTTAACTTTGTTTTTTTTTATGTAAAAGTAATAATGTGATATAAAGTAAGGATATTTGTGAAAAAAAATGAATATTTAATGAAATGTTTACTTTGTAATTGGACGTTCCAAAATAAAAATATATATACTTTCTAGCTGGACGGAGGGAGTATTAGATAGTTATTGTTATACATTTTCAATTTATATGTTGTATTTATATATAAATACACAAACAATATGATTTTAATAACGCATTATGTGTCATGTTAGGTAAAATATATGTCCGCAATTAATACTTTATTATAAGTGTGTTGAATGAACACACTTATAATGGTGTGTTCGTTTATGGTGTGTTCGTTTCTAAGATTTTGCAAAAATTTTACTATTCATTCCATTTTTCCCCCAAATATATCAAATCAAACACCTATTTTTTATTTTTTATATTATACTAAATATCAATTTTACATTCAAAATATCACATCACTACCTATTTATATCACATCATATAACTATTCAAATTCAAAATTTTTACTATTCAAATTCCAACTCAAAATCCAAACCCCCAAACAAACACAGTATGTCATGTTAGGTAAAAATATATATAGGCAAAAATATATATAGGCAATTAATACTTTATTATAAGTGTGTTGAATGAACATATGCTAAGATCAATTATAATATGTTATGTAGATTATTATTATGTTTTATTAGTTATATTTTTACTCTCTCCATCCTGTAAAATGTCCATAATGAATTTTTTGAAAAAAAAAAAAAAAAAAACAATTATTGAAAAGTGATTAAGTAAAAACTAGTTAGAATATTTTTAGAAATTTAAAATAAATGTAATAAAAAATAGTAACTTTTGTTATAAATAACTATTGAATTAAAAGTAATAATCAATAATTTAGAAGGACTAAAAAAGATAAGTGGAATTTTAAATTATCAGACCGAAGAAATATTACATTAATATAAATATCATATATATTTAATTTATGGTTGTCCATCTATATTTGTTTGGAGGTTTGGATTTTGAGTTGAGATTTGAATAGTAAAAATTTTAAATTTGAATAGTTGTATGATGTGATATAAATAGGTATTGATGTGATGTTTTGAATGTAAAATTGATTTTTAGTATAATATAAAATATGAAAAATAGATATTTGATTTGATATTTTTGAAAAAAAAATGAGATGAATAGTGAAAATCTAATCCAATCCCCCAAACAAACACACCCTAAATGTATTGTCACATGTCATAGTATTTAATATTAATATTCAACAATATACATAGAGATGCCAAAAATTAATACGAAAAGAAATAATTAAATTTGAGTCAAGTTTTTTTAATCCGATTAGGTATACGGATTGATACAAATCCGATGCAATAATAAAGGAGTCGAATTAAGGTTGAAGTCTTCGACCGGAATCATACACCACAATCGAAGTATAATATATTAATATTAATTAATATATTTATTTTAGATGTAAACTATTTTAATTTAATAATTTGTTTTAAAAATATATAAATTTAAGTGGAGTCCAACTCAACTATAATATTTAATCATTTTAACTCAACTATAATATTTAATCATTTTTACTATTTACAGGTACAATTAGTTTTGACTGATTTAGTGATTTTTTAACTTTCTTTTGAATTAATTATTTAATTGCTGTTTAGTTTATGAAATTTTAGTTTTAGAAAAATTTTAAATGGATAAACATGTTGATTTCATATTAATTTGGTCGAATTTGCACGGATCAAATTTGTGTCAGATTATCTGACATGTTTAGAAAATTATTAAATGGGTTAACATGTCAATTTTCGAATTGATCGGATTTGAATAGACAAAATCGTAACCTATTTAAACAAACATGTCAATTTCAAATTAGACAATTTAATCTATTTGAATATTCAACCCGATTCATTGCCACCTCTCTCGATGTACATGTCTAAATGATTTGATTAAATATATATGTAGGGAAGAACTACGAGTCTGTTTGAATATTAGAGTTCATTTACGTGTACCAATTTTTGACTTAGAAAGTTAAAGTCTCATTATCCTTTGATTCAAAATTTTAATGATCTTAAAAACTCAAATACTCTGATTCTAACGTTATATAATATTATAAAATTTTTATGAAATAAAAATTTTTTATATAGTAAATAATATAAATAAGTAGGTAAGTTTTGTAAGTATGAATATATAATATATGTGATGTGACGTATGTATGTGATATTATATGTATGGTGACATGAATATACTTTGTATGTATGGCTATATATATATATATAATAAAGATATGTATGTTTTAGTAATAAATGAATGTGCAGAGAGAAATTGAGAAGCGCACATGAAGAGAATTGTGTGTGGATTCATTTCACTCATTACACGTATTTATAGATACATGTAGATATAATTGTGAGGTTATAATAACATCCACATTTTGCATTCGTTCTGCGTATGTGTACACTACATATACATTTTACAACACTTTCCCTTGGATGCTTTACATAAAGAATGTGTCTCGTTAAAACCTTACTATGAAAAAATCCCGTGGAAAAAAATCATAGTGAAGGAATAAAAATAAATCATTCTTGTATTAATGTGTTCCCCTGTTTTGGACTTTATTTGATGTATTTTATCCGACGCATTCCAATTTCTTATACCAATTTGTTGAATGTTGCAGTCGGAGCGCCTTCGTGAATAAATCTGTAAAATTTTCAGACGATCAAATTTGTCGCACACTAATTTCACCATTTTTTTTAAAATCATGAGTGAAAAAGAATTTCGGAGATATGTGCTTTGTCCGATCGCCTTTGATATATCCTCATTATAATTGAGCTATACAAACTGCATTATCTTCAAATAATATTGTGGGAGGTAATATATCATCAGAAATCAAGCCATAATTTTTTTGAATATGGTGAGTCATAGATCACAACCAAACACATTCATGACTGGCTTCATGAATTGTTAAAACCTCAGCATGGTTTGAAGAAGTAACTGTTATTGTATGTTTAGCAGATTTTTAAAAAATTGCAGTTCCACCACAAGTAAATAAATAGCCAGTTTGAGATTTTGCTTTATGTGGATCAGATAGATAACCAGCATCAACATAACCAATTAATTCATGTCGAGATTCACTCGAATAAAATAGACCGAGGCCATGAATCCCCTGAAGGTAACGAAAAATATGTTTGATACCATTCCAATGGTGCTTTGTGGGGGATGCGTTAAACCTGGCCAGTAAATTTACTGAAAAAGATATATCTGCTCTGGTACAATTTGCAAGGTACATTAATGCGCCAATGGCGCTGAGATATGGTACCTCGGGGCCAAGTATTTCTTCATTTTTTTATTTTTTTTGCCTGAATGGATCTTTGATGGGATCAAGGGATTTGACCACCATTTGTGTATTTAGGGAGTGAGATTTATCCATATAAAATTGTTTTAATATATTTTGGGTATATGTGGATTGATGAATAAATATCTCATTGTTCACATGATCCACTTGTAATCCCAAATAATATATTTTTTCCAAAATCTTTGATCTCTGACCTGTCGCGCGGTCAATCAAATATTTCACCTACTCCGTGATCACAATTTAATGTAATATAGGGGAAGAGATCGTCTCCACAGGGATTGTGTGATTCATTCTTTCGTGTTCTAATGCAGTAAATAAAGGGGGATTTTTCTTTTATTATCTAATTAAAATAAAATAACAAAACAATTAAATTAAAGGGGAACTGACTATAAGGGATGCCTGGCTCAAGGGATGATGCAGTTATGGCACTTGTGTTCTATCATTAATTCAATTAAATTAATTCTTATTAAAGTATTAATAAATTGGTTATAGTTATCAACAAGCTCTGACAACCAATTTTTCCTTACAGTGTAGGTTATTAAGGTACGACCGTTAACTACCCCTAATTATGCAAATAAACCTAGGTGTGCCCATAAGAATATTGCCTAATCTCATTCCAATCTAGAAAAACCCAATTCAAAACAATTACTACCTAAGAGGAGCAATTAGATTTGATTGTCTAACCCCCGGGAAGGAACTATTCAACCCGATTGTCACATATTCAAGTGCGAATACAATTACGGATATCTACTTGAATTGACTTTAGATTATCATACTAATTTAAATATCGGTACCAAAATATTCAATCAATCTAACAATCATAAACGTTATTCTCAGAATTAGACAAATATTGATAATCAAAAAGAACTTTTATAAAGAAAATCAAGAATCTCCAAAACAAAAGAACCAAAACATTATCACCCCTCAAACCAGAAAAGTATCTACTCCATAATTAAATAACAAAGAACAAAAGAGAAAGATGAAGTCATAGTGGAAGGGGGAAATCTTCTCTGTCGATTTGCTTCTGCGCGATCTATGAATTTGTCAGTCTCCTGCTCCTGTGCGTTTCTGCCCCAGCCGTTCTCTCCCTTTTGAAACGTGTGATCCCTCCGTTTATTTAATGTTTGCCCTAATTATTTTGTAGATGGGCTTTTGGGCCTTTAATTAATTTTATTTCTTTTTTCTGCCAATTATGCCAAATTTAATATTTGCTCTCTGCACACAGCAAATAAACAATTCGCATATAAATTAGGTAGAATCCAATCAAAATCACCCAATTATCGCATATGATATGAATATAAAACGCATGCGATTTCTAACTATCAATCTCAAATTCTTTCTTTAGATATTCAACTGCAATTTGAATCTCTTCAGAAGTTCCAATTAAATTGAGATTATCAACATATATTGCAATAATGATAAAATTTGATCCATTTTTCGTGATAAAGATGCATGGACATATTGGATCATTAGTATAACCTTCTTTTATCAAACATTCATTTAGACAGTTATACCACATTTGCTCTTATTGTTTAAGTCCATACAATGACTTTTTCAATTTGATGGAATATGATTCCCTTGGGTTTAACTTGTATGCTTCGGACATAAATCCCTCAGGAACTTTCATATAAATATCAGTATCCAATGAGCCATAAAGATATGTAGTAACTACATCTAAAAGACGCATATCGAGTTTTTCTCGCACTGCTAGGCTCACAAGGTATCTAAATGTTATTCATCAACAATTTGAGATTATGTTTCATAAAAATCTACTTCAGACCTTTGTGAGAATCCCTGATCTACAAGACGGGTTTTATATCTCTCAATTTCACTAAGCTCATTTCTTTTTCATTAAAGCTCATTCATGATATTTTCATGATTATCATCATTAATTCCTCTTTTCTTTCGAGAATGTTTGTCAAGTGATCTACAACGCTTCAAGCGTATTGTTTATTCATTAGCGCTTCCTATTTGTCCATCAGGAACAATTATTTTAGCCGGAGCATTAGCATCTTGAATATATGATCGAGTGATTTTGCTCGAATCATTGAAGCATTCGGTAACTGATTTACAATATTTTGCAAATGTATAATGCGTTGAACTTCTAGTTTACACTGCTTTGTACGAGGATCACAAAAATTCAATGAGATTTTCCAATTAATATCCATATTCGATTTATTTATGTCTCCCTCTAATGTCGAAAAATATGATTCATCAAAATGACAATCTGCAAATCTTGCAGTGAATAAATCACTCGTCATAGGTTCAAGATATTTTATAATTGACGGCGATTCATATCCGACATAAATGCCCAATCTACATTGAGGACCTATTTTTGTACGCTTGGGGGGTGGAATAGGAACATAAACAGCACACCTAAAAAAACGTAGATGAGATATATCTGGTTCGTGACCAAATACTAACTGCATTGGGAAATAGCTATGATAGCTTGTTGACCTCATTCTTATAAGTGTTCCTGCATGTAATATTGCATGCCCCCAAGTTGAAACGGGCAACATAGACCTCATCAATAATGATCTAGAAATCAATTGCAATATTTTAATAAGTGATTCTGCTAGGCCATTTTGTGTATGAACATGAGCAACTGGGTGCTCTACATTAATTCCAATCGACATGCAATAATCATCAAATGCATTCGATGTATATTCACCAGCATTATCCAGATGTATAGTCTTAATTGGATTATCGAGGAATTGTGCCCGTAATTTAATAATTTGGGCAAACAATCTCGCAAATGTCATATTGCGAGTAGATAATAATTAGACATGGGACAACCTCGTAAATGCATCAATAAGTACCATAAAATATTTAAATGGGCCACACGGTGGGTCTATTGGCCCATATATATCCCCGTGTATATTTTCCAAAAATGTAGGTGATTCAATACTTACTTTAGCTGGCGATGACCTGGTTATCAATTTTCCATGAGTGCAGGCAACATAGAACTCATTTGAGTTTAACACTTTTTGACCTTTTAATGAATGGTCATGCGAATTCTCAATTATTCGCCTTATCATTATACTGTGAGGATGCCCAAGGCGATCATGTCATATTTGAAATTTGGTAATCTTTTGATCTACTGTGAGGTGTGTTTCAACAAAACCTAATCTGGAATAATATAAACCAGTAGAGAGTGAGGGTAATTTCTTAATGATGCATTTCTTTTTATCAATGATATTGGTGATCAATAAAAATTCACCATTGGTATCACTCATAGTTTCAATGTGATAACCATTTTTTTGAATTTCATGAAAGCTAAGTAAATTTCTTCGAGCTTTAGTGGCCAACAGTGCATACTGTATCACAATTTTTGTTCCCGCAGGGAAAAATATAATGGCTTCTCCAGAGCCTTCAATTAAGTTTGCATAGCCACTTATTGTATTGACATTCATTCTTTCTCTTTTCAAATGGGAGAAATATTTTTCGTGCTTCAATATAGTATGTGTCGTTGCACTGTCAATGAAACACACATTTGCATCATTTTGATTGTAATTCATTTAAGCTTCAAATATAAATAAGCGCGATATTAATAAAGGCAAATATAAATATTACAAAATGCATTACAAAAAGGTAATATGCGATAATTTAAGTATTACAAAATATAAGATGGCATAATGTAAAATGACATAGTATGTCTGTCAGTAGGGATTTTCTGAATCTACGACAAAGTCCGCTATATCAAGATGCGTTGTGTCGTAATCCAGAAGATCATCATCAGGGTCGTCATCGTTATTAATGTGATTAGTCTCGACCTCTTTCCCCTTTTTCTGCAGTGAGGCTTGATAAAGATTGGCTAGATGTTTGACTGTTCTGCAAGTATTGGCCCAATGGTCTTCAATGCTACACTGATTACAAATGTCGATTTGCCTCTTTTCCTATTTAGCCTTTTCGGCTATATCCCCATATTGGGGTTTACTCTGCTTTCTGTAATGTCAAACCGCGGTGATTGTAAGGGGTATATCGACCGCGTTGACTCTCACGACTGCGACCACGTCCACGGCCTCTACCACGTCCTCGGCCTCGTTCAGAAAATCTCACGTTCGCTTCAGGGAACGGACTGGAACCAGTGGGCCGGGACTGATGATTTTTCATCAGTAACTCATTATTTTGCTCAGTTAATAAAATACATGTTATGAGCTGTGAGTATTTCTGAAAGTTATTCTCACGATACTGGAAAAAGTCTTTTCCAATTTATCATTCCCAATAACATTTTCTCCGCAGAGTTTTAACTGAGATGTAATTTGATGGATAACAGAGTTGTACTCTGTAACAATTTTAAAATCCTGCAATCGTAGGTTAAGCCAATCATGTCGGGCTTTCGGGAGAGTGATATATTTCAAGTGCCGAAATATCTCCTTTAATTCATTCCACAAATCTAGTGGATCTTTCACCGTCAAATATTCATACTGTAGAGGAATGTCCAAATGATGACGAATGAAAATAATAGCCTTGGTCCGATCTTGGTTTGTAGCCGCATTTTTACTGGAAATTGTATGAACAAGGTCTATTGAAACCAGATGCATTTCTACATCCAAGGACCAAGTCAGAAAATTATTGCCGGTGAGAGACAGAGGTTTAAAAGAAAATTTTGCAAAGTTTTCTATAGTTTAAAAAATAGATAATATATATAGTATAAAAATAAAATTTACTAAAAATAAAATAGACAAGAGTTTTCGTGCTGATAATGTGTTATATAATAAATAATATAAATAAGTAGGTAAGTTTTGTAAGTATGAATATATAGTATATATGTGATGTGAGGTATGTATGTGATATTATGTGTATGGTGACATAAATATAACTTTGTATGTATGGTTATATATATATATATATGTAATAAAGATACGTATTCATTAGTAATAAATGAATGTGTAGAGAGAAATTGAGAAGAGCGCAGAGAGAATGAAGAGAATTGTGTGTGGATTCATTTCACTTGTTACACGTATTCATAGATACATATAGATAAAATTATGTGGTTATATCAGCATCCACATTTTACATTTGTTTTGCATATGTGAACACTACGTATACATTTTACAACAAAATTGTTGATCTTACAATATAATTGTTTTAACTATCCTCCGATCATTCTCTTCCTCTTAACAAGTCATGTCATTTTAAAGTTTTATTTAATGTTGTGTAGATTATTATTAATCTTGGAATTTATTTTTTTAATTTCAGAGGCTTTGGTGGCATAGAAGGTGACGCAGCTCCATGACGATCTAGATTTTGATATTAGTTTTTTTTTTTTTTTTATCTTCTATTTCTTTTCTATAGAATTCTTCTAGTTTTTATCATTTGGATGTATCTGCTTTTTGTTGGAATATTATTTTTATTGAAAATTGGCTCATAAGAAATAATAATAGCATGTTTCTCTCCTTCTTAGAAGATATTAGAAAGATTAGAACATATTTGTTGTTTTATTAGTTCAAGCAAATGAAGAATTTTTTGTTAATTTTATAATTGAATTTAAATTCTTTTAGAGTGAAGATCTTTTTTTGTTAATTGAGGGTAAATATTTTTTATTGTACAATATTATGTATTGAAGTTGTATAAATAGAATTACCGTCTCATAAATTATTTCTGTTGTTTGAGATTTTTCTATAAAAGTAAAATATAATTTCTTATTGTTTATTTGAAATGAGGTCGATTTTGGACAATTGTATTAGGAGTAATTAGATTTAAAAAAAAAAAAATGATTCCTACAATGGCCATATGATGTGAATTTTTTATTAGGACAAATGAGATTCATATAGAAATTCTTTCATTTACTACAAAGCTTTAATTCTGGAGGAGACATTTAATATTGGATTATGTATAGAAATTCTTTCATTTACTAGAAAGCTTCCATAATTAAATATTGAATTATTTGCTGCTTTTATTTTTACACTAATTTTACCAAAGAACTTGGCAAATTAAGTTAGTTCCTGTATCAAAAAGTGTTATAATATCTAAAAAGAATCCCTTAAGAAATTCAAACTGTATATTTATAATATATTATATTAGAAGAGATTTCTTTTATAACAAAGAAAAAATCATGTTGTATATATTGAACATATATATGGACACAAGCAAGTTTTAACAACAAAGACCAAACTGTCTGAAAAGGGAGATGAGTACACCACAAAGACAAAAAACAACAGATAAAAAAGGAAGAAGAAGAAGATGCAGAATTTTCATTCTTACAATTCACCAAAAAAGTCCATAGTTTCATCTCCTTCAATGTTACTACATTACTACATTACAGTCCCTCCCTCCTAATCAACAACAGATTCAAACACTTTACTACAACATAGATATACCATCAGCTACTCTTACCTTACCTCACCTCAGAATTCGAGCGATCCAACAGACGGTATCCCACTCAGGTTGTTTCTTGCGTCCCTTCGCGCCATGTAGTCGTCACAAGTGTTGCTGCTGCTGCTGCCACCAGGCCGGGTTGACTGACCCGCATTTGGGAGATCGAGCCCTTCTTTGATCATCTGCTGCACCTCCAGATGAGACAGGATTTTGATATACGACACGCTGTTTACGAATTCCCTGTAATTAATTGAAACCACACCTCCATTACATAACCTCACTCTCAACATTGAAACAACACAAAAGTTACTAAGCCTTTTTCTTTCTTAAAAGTACATAAAAACATCCTTGTGATAGTTATTCACTCATTCCAAACAAAAACACACTAATGGTCGATCAAACACAAATAGACGAGCAACCCTTTTGGCTAATTAAAACTACGGGCAAAAAAAAAAAAAAAAAAATCTATAATCTTATAAGTAATATTCCCTCTGTCCCAACTCAATGTACAATTTTTATCATTTTCATATGTCGTACTCAAAAGTATCTATTTTTTATTATAGTAAAAATAATCTATATATAAATACCCCTAAATTTTAAAATTATTTTATACACTTCCACTAACTAATAAAATATTATTATTTTTTAATCTACTAAAACAAAACAAAAACGTAAGGGTACTTTATTGGGTTGGGACGGAGAAAGTACCTTCTAAAGATCATCTATACCTACAGTGACAATCGTGTAGGCATTGTCAGCTCTCTACATGACATCTCCGAAAACGCACATAAGTGTCATGTACAAATATAGGACAGAGTGGATGTGTAAGATCCAAGATCACATTTCCCCTTAAAACAATCAAAATGATAAGAGGTGCCAGCGAGCCATTTACAGGGCATTAAACAAATATGTCATTTCGATGTCATAAATTCAAACGATGAAGGTTGAAAACAGATAATTTAGAGTGCATTTCTTAGTTTAAACAAAACTTGCCGACTTAATTAACACATTTTTTTATATAGAGATATGGAACTTAGAGCATAAAAATAGTTACGAACTTACTGCCATGGATCATCGCCGAGTAAGAGAATATCATTCTCACGGTCAACGAATACAAGCTGCCAGCCTGATCTCTGCGGGTCCTCCAGCAAGCCTTCGAGCCCAAACATACGGGCAAGCGAGCTCCTAAGCTCATGATAGCTGCTGAATTTCGAGATGTCCAAGGAACGCCCAAAGGACCCAGACTTGTGAACCTATGAAAAGTTTCAACAAAAAATTTACATTTAAACTTACCATAAACAGCACGCAAGTTAATTCTGTAACATTTGACAGACATTAATTTTTGTCGAACTAAAATAGTCACTATGTGCTCTCTAATTGAAAAGTTCAACAAGCTAGTAAAAATCAATAGACTTTGATTTGGGGTTTAGCACAGAAAGTAAATGTGGTTATTCACCTTTACAAAGGCTCCTGTGGCCGCTGTGGTCTGTTCCACGTTTTCTGAGGACTGCAAGTACCCTGATTCATCCATGCAACTCGAGGTAGCCATGTCAGAGTCGAGAGGGAAGTCCGTAGCAGACATACTTGCACCAAATGTAGGGGTCACATACTGCGCTGACAATGATTGGTTATCATTATTAAACAGATTAGGAGCCGAGCCAGTCCCAACTTCATACATTAAATTGTTTTGGGAAGTCGCCACAGCGCCTTGGAAATCTGAAAATTCCCGATCAGGGAACAGTGGCAGAAAATCTGAAAGGTCCGAACCCTTGGAATCAGGCGTTCCCAGTCCCCCTTGATGGAGAGTGCTGAACAGAGAAATCTTGGATGAAAGTTGTGGGTCTATTGCCACCCGTTTGGACAATGAAGATTGCGAAATGTGAGGATTTGGTACATGTTGCGATGATCCATCCTGCGAAATCGGGCTCACAATACTCTGCAAGGAAGAATTATTAGACGAGCCCATATGGTCAAAATCAGGTAAGTTTTCCAGCTGGTTCGACTGCAACAAGTCCTGCATTGGAGCAAACTGACAACTGGAGGCCAACCCGACAGTGGGTTTGGACCGTACATCTTGAAATTGCTGGAACAGTGGCTGGGATTGCTGCAGTGAATTGGAGTCAACAGCCGGAAGGCGGCCTTGTAACTGCTGCTGCAAAATCTGAGCCTGAGAAACGACATTTTCCGGAAGGTTCTGCAGGAAGTTCAGCTGAGAGTGAGATTGTTGCAGCATTTGATTCGGCATTGTGGACAGGATGTTTTGTTGGAACTGGAGTAGGCTGGGATTTGCAGGTTTGGCTGTATCTAACGATGCCATTTCTTGAAGCACCATTGGTTGGTAAGTATTAGATTGTAGACCAAATGAGGATGCATCAAGCCTCGGTTGCATCCATGGGGGCCCACTAAGTCCCTGGAAGTTAAACGACTGCATCCCTTGATCGCCAATTCCTCCATGAAGCCATGTGAATGGAGAATTTATGCTCACGTCACTGTCTTTAAAACCTGAACCAGAATTAATAGCAATTCATTTTTAAATATCTGAGTAGCTTCAACAGGAAACAAATTGCATATTTCTCGGGTGTTTGTATGTAAGACAAACCGGAGAACGAGGGCAATCCCGACGGCCATGGTCTCTTTAATCTGAGGGAGAATGGAGATGTATACATAGGGAAAGTTGTTAAAGGCTCAATCTCCCATAAAGAAACTCTCTGCTGCCTTTCTCCAGTAGTCGACTCGTCCCAGCCAACCTGAGCACAAAAATGCAACATAAATATTCAGAGAAAAACAAAATTTCGACAGAAAATCAACTAGAACCGATAGAAAACACATTATCATCACTATACTTTATTCATATTTAAATTTTATCAAAAAGCCCGGTTGAGTGTGCAGATACATTCTTTTTCATAAAGCCTTGCAAGTGAAGAACTTTTCATAGACAGGCAAATGGCGGAAATTATGTATCACTTTATATTTTTTTACATTTTCTTTCTCACCAATACAAACTGTGAAATTGGTAGAGGTAACATAACTATGGCATACCTTCACTGACCGCCAGTGTGACTTCGGCCAACGGACAGGATCCAAATCGCTGATGCCAGTGATCGTACCCATATATCTTAAAAAAATTAATAAATCAGTACACTTGCCAAGAAATATTACAAACATTCATTTTATATGAATTCAAAGAAAAAAGTACACACCTACGCACGCTCGATTCTTCAGTTTCAAAGAGCATCCTAAAGCGCATACCCACAGCAACTCGTGTATGATAAACTGCTTTGGCATATTTTGCCAAGGGTATCACAAACTCAGATGGGCTAGCCCTGAAATTTGCAAAACTGGGAATGAGAGGGTGCTGAGTTTCCATATTTGACGAGAACAGCCTTAAATTTTACCTTGGATTGAAGAAGATAGTGAAACGACTATTTGTTGCTGCTGCATGAGCAGCAGCAGCAAGAAGCCCAATGTGCATACTATCACTCGACAGCACAGATGATGGCATAACTGTTTGAGGTCTATTAGCTCGGCGAATTCCCAAGAGTAGTTGATTGCTTTCATTCCTTAAATTGTTGTATAAAACGTAAAAAACAGATCACAGCTAGAATGATAAATATAACTCCCAAATGGTAGTTGCCATAGCAATAAATTTAAGCAAAGCCATGGTAGAAACTGAGGCAGGTTCAGCAAAACTGAGACCAGACCGGCCAGGCCAAGCAGTTAATGAACCCAAGAAGGGCCTGCCCTGCATCATTTATTAATCAATAATCTCATATCCAGTGAGGGTTTATTTTCCTCCAGACCAAAACCATATTTACGGCCCCAAACCAGATTTAGACGAGACAAGGCTCTAGTAAGAACAGAACCCATTGCCGTCCTTTAGTGATAATGAGAGTTCATGGGATAAGTGGTTAAGCATCTCTGTTTAATGAGCAATTTTTTCAAGATGTGGAAACCTTAATACTTTTTCACAGATTGTTTTGGGATTAAATAAATAAACTCGATATCATAGCATACCAGATGAAAATAACTGAATCTCCGGAAACTAGCCTCTTTGCGCTCACAAAGACGCTCCATCCTGTTGTAAGAAGATGCCTCTTTGGTTGTCCTGTTGTATGCAAGCACAACAAAATCAGTTGCAAGGTCATATGCAATGCAAGGACAAAATTATTGTTAAAATCTTGAAAGTGACTATCAAAACACACAAAAACAAGAGCCAAAATTGCATGCACGTGGATATCACATTATTAATGACACGCATTGGATGCAGACAAAAATGAATTTGATGTCAACTCAGCACACGATTACCGATACAGACCATATTTCATCGCCCCCAAAATCAGCACCCTAAAAAAGCACTTGGTACAATTCTGGTATTAGTTTACAAACGGTTTACCTTTACTGCCTTACACTAACTAGGAGAAATAAATAAAATAAAATAAAATGCTCCCCACGTCAAATGTTTAATGCAAGACACGATGGAAAAGAAACCGTATTTGCAGCAAGAAATGACGGAATACATTATTCAGTATCATAAGGAATGATCTCCAAAAGCTCTATTGAACAAAACGGTAGAAAATCTCACATACTATTCTTGCAGCCTCACCTCGAAAGATATGCCTGAACTTCCATTCATTTCCATGAAGATCCTTTGCAATTAATTCTTGTGCCGGTGGAGTTTGGGAGAAATCCTGACCAATCGAGATATATAAAAGCTATTGTATATATATTATATATATATATATATAGAGAGAGAGAGAGAGGGAGAAAAGAACTCAAGCACCATGCATTGGCAAATAAAGCAAAGGAGTACTTACGAGTGGAGGAAAGACTTTCTCCGCAGCTCGGCGGGGGACAGAAAATCCTCCATGAGTGCTGGTATCACTTGCAGTTAATGTTTTACAAAAATAATTGGTGGGCTGTTTGCTTGGGCCGCCGAGCTCCATTGGTAGCAGGCAGATATCTTTTTGCTCTTGCTAAACCGACAGACCATTAGTTCCTGAGCTAAAACTATCATTTAAAAATGGTAAAAACAAAGAGATCTGAGTAATTAATTACAGGGGTGAGGGGTTGCAATGTCATCTGAGCATAGACTTCATCCGTCTCGACATCCGCCTGCAATTATAAAACATACATTAAGCAGGTAACACATAGAAAAAAGGACCTTTGCAACACATACATTAAAAGATATCACGGCTTACATGCATGGTAACATTGTGGAGCTGACATATCAGCTGTGGTTCCAAGCCAGGATAGTTCGGTATAGTAGTGTCCACTTCCTTGTTGGTCGAGGCAGTAACCTATTCGAAAAAACAAGGGTAGATTATTCGAAAAAACAAGGGTAGATTATAAAAACTCAGAAGTAACCCTAAATCACCCAGCGCTGCCAATTGAAACATCAATTTCCCCTCCCCCAGCCATCCAACCCCACCCCCTCGCCAATATGGAGATTTGACGGCCATTAAGCAGTACATCTCCCCTGCTCAAATCTCCACAGTTGCCATTTCTAAATAAGCACATAACTATGCATAATTCACGTGCAACACTAAGCAACAAAACATACATGTCAAAATATCCCGAGTAGGTGAGGCAATCGTCATCACTCAACAACAGCATGTACAGACAAATTAAACACATGTGTCGGCAGAGAATTATTAATAATCAGTCGAATCCTGCTTATGTATTTATGCATCTGAATCCATTCCATTCCACAAAAGTAACAAGAAATGAAGCAAATTCCTACACAAGCAAGCATTCAAAGAGCAAAGCAAAGAAAACCTGTTCGCTGTGGCCTTGAGGAAAATACACGACACGGCTGCCAATCTGTGGTAATGAAACCAAAGGGCCAGCACACGCATGCCACAGTTCTGAATTCAAGCATTTATTCTCCCCTACAACAATACAATTTATTACCAAAGCAAAACAGCTAAAAGACAAGGCCAAAAATAAATGCAGAAATGAAAGCTAAGCTAAGCTACGGAAAGCAAAGCAAGCATACCTTCCTCCGGCAGAGCAGTAAATCCAGGAGACGAAGAAGAAGACGGCTTCATATTCTCCCAAACCCTTCACAAATTCAAACTAATCTACAAAAACTGCAATCAGAGGCGTTTCGACGAAGCATGCATACCCATTCTAACCCAAATCCCCAAATTTCAAATTCGCAAACCCTAGAAATTCCGTTTCAGCTCAACGAAGCAATTCAGGCGAGTGGTGATGAAATTAAGGGTTGCAGAAGTTCGGGGTGGATCTTGAATGGAGTTGGGGCGAGAGAATGGGAAAGAAACCCTAAAGAAGAAAGGGGAGATGAAGACCGGTCCGAGGAATAAAATGGGGATAAAGTTAGTAACTGAAAGGAAAAAGCAGAGGAAAGAAGACAATGATGCCTAGCTTTTCTGCTCCTCTCTCTCTCTCTCTCTCTCTCTCTCTCTCTCTTGCTTTCTCTCTCTGTGTGGAAGCTTAAATCCGCTTCAGATCTTTAATGGGGTTTCGCCATTTTCACCATTTTTAAACCTTCCATGCTTTCCTTTACTAGTCCTGTGTGTATGGAATGTATGTGTATGTATGAATATGATTGTTGGCGCTGTGAAGATGGAGAAGATGAAGAGAGAGAGAGAGAGGAGAGGAGATGGTGGTGCTGCTGCAGCTGCATTAATTATTGCAATTTTGTTTGGGAGTTTAAAATGGAAATCTGATTTTGGGGTTTGGAATTTTCTTGAGATAGTAAAATTTGAGTTTCGAATTTAATGTTAGGTATGGTTTAAGGATCTAATTAATCAATTAATTAATTCATTATCGTTTTTGTTTTTTATTTTTTATTTTTATTATTGCATGCGTTTGGTTGGAGTGGAGGGAAATACTTACTCCCTTTCCGAGAAATTCAATCCTTTTTTACTAAAAATAAATAATATTTTTGCTATGAAAAATTATGTTTATTTAATTGCCTACTAGTTCTTAAAAAATATAGCTAAAAATATATTTTATTATAGTAAAAAAATAAAATAAGTTGTATTTTTTATTTTAAAAAAAATATATTTTTTATTGACAATAAAAAATAGACATAAAAATTGAATAATAGATAAAATAATATTTAATTTAAAAAAAGTAATTGTATTAGTTAGAAAATTTAATGTTTTTTTAATAAATAGATTAAAGAAAAAGTAATAAAAAAAAAAAACAACATATGAACCCATGACCTCATGGTCATAAATTCAACCCCTACACCACCAGATCATCTCTTACGGAACACATCACATGATATTTTATAACACAATATATGTTGTATTACATAAAAAGTGATGTTGTTTAACATATGTTGATCCGGACTGAATTAACATATGATCTACGCCCATAATATATATATTTTATCTATTTATAAAATATTAACAATTAAATACAAATTATAATTATTTATTTTTTATATTATTAATATAATTAGTCATACCTAATATAAAAAATACTTATATCTAAAAAATACAAAGTAAACAAACTCAATGTATGATATAAATACAAAATATACAAACTCAATGTATATTATGACTTTTTATAGACAGTAAAAAAATGTTCTAAAACTATATGTAGGCACCAATGCTATACAAAATTATAAGAATATCCTATCTATTATGTAATATATAAAATAAGCTATACTAATATATTATGTAGATAAGAAATGGCAGATGTCTAGATATGTAATTTATTAATCCCTCCGTCCTACTTAACATGTCCAAGTTGTCATTTTTGTCCGCCCACGTTTCATGTTATTTTTTTTTTTTGGAAAATGATTATCCATCTTAATCTTATTTTAAATTTTATAATTTATTTTTTTAAATTTTAATTAAACTAATTAGTTATTTTAATCTTAATCTATAATGATTTATATTATAGGTTAATTATTTTTATTAATACATTCTTAATTATTTACTAATTATATTTATTATAAATTTTCGTATCTATAGTGACCAAAACACCCAATATGAGAGGGAAGTAGTATATTATAAATATATTTTATATGAAGACCGTGTGTACATATATGTAGTTGTGTGTGTTAGAGAATGTAAAGAGAGAGACTAAAAATAGGGAGAGAGTTTGGAATCAAGAGCGTATTAATTATTGGAAACTAGAATTTATATTTATAGATGCAATACAATTAGATTAGTCGTTATAAATTGACTTGTCAAAATAATATGGTAATAAATGTGATGTGTAATAACACTTTCTTTTAGTTGTTACTAATTGTAACGAATACGTCTAATTAAAATCTTATTAAGAAAAAATTCGATTAGAGAAAAATTTCAGTGAAAGAAAAAAATTTATGTAATTCATGCTTTCAAAATTGTTCCACCTGAGGTGTACATTATTTGAAATCTCGTAACCGACGTCCTTGGATGTTTTTCACCAGTTTTTTGAATGTTGTAGTCGGTAAATCTTTGGTTAATAAATCTGTTAAATTCTCATTCAATCGAAGCTATAACACATTTATTTCACAATTTCTCTAAAGATCATGAGTAAAGAATTTTTTTTATGAAATAGTTTTCGTTCTATCTTCCCTGATATATAAAACTATACAAATTGCATTATCTTTATATAAAATAGTATGAAGATTATCTGAAAAATTTTCAGATCTCAAACCATAATTTTTTAAAATATGGTGACTCATTGATCTTAATCATACACATTCACGACTCGCCTCATGAATTGCTATTATTTTAGCATAATTTGAAGATGTTGCGACTAATATTTGTTTAGTAGATCTCCAAGATACCACAAGTAATACCCTCGGAGTTAGGTTGGTGCTAGGCCAACTCCCATGGATGAGCCGGTGCTAGGCTATCCGAGGTTGACTATAGATGTCTGACCATAATACTGCCGTAAGTAAATATATAGTCAATCTGAGACTTGAATTTATGCGGGTCAAAATGATACCCAACATTTGCATATTCAATCAATTCATGTCGAGAATTCTTTGAATGTAATAAATTGAGATCAATCGTTCCTGAGATAATGAAAATATGTTTAATTCTTTTCCAATATCGTTATGTTGACATTGCACTAAATCTTGCTAATAAATTTACAGCAAATGCTATGTATGGTCTTGTACTATTAGCTAGATACATTAGTGCGTCAATAGTACTTACATATAGTAATTCAGGACCAATTGTTTTCTCGTTCTCTTCTTTCGATCTAAAAGGATCATTAATAAGATCAAAAGTTTTAATGGCTATTGAAGTACTTAATGAATGTGTTTTATCTATTGCAAAATATTTTAATACATTCTAGATATATGCAGATTTATGGATCAAAATTTTATTTTCCAAATGTTCAAATTGTAGACCAATGCAAAATTTCATTTTCCCAGATTCTTGATTTCAAACCCTTTTTTCAATTTTCAATAGTTTCTTAGACTTCTTCAGGGATTAAAATTAAATTCATATCGCCAACATAAATAGCTATTATCACAAATTTTCTCTTATTTTCTTTATAAAAACACATGGGTTAAGAGAATCATTGTCATATCCCTCTTTCAGTAATGATTTATTGAGACGATTATACTATATGCAACCAAATTATTTGAGCTCATACAATGACTTTCGTAATTTAATAGAATAACATTCTTTTGGCTTTGACTTGTATGCTTCAGGCATACTGAATCATTCAGGATTTTTCATAGAGATATCACTATCTAATGGGCCGTATAAATAGACTGTTACTACGTCCATCAGACGCATATCCAAATTTTCAAAAACTGTTAAACTGACAAAATATCAAAATGTTATTTCATCTATTACTGGAGAATAAGTTTCATTAAAATTAATTCCAAGTCTTTATGAAAAACCTTGGACAATAAATCTTGCTTTATATTTTGCAATTTTATTGTTCTTATTTTATTTTTGAATAAAACCTAATTAGAACCAACATGTTTAACATCTTCAGGTGTTTGTGAAACGTGTCTAATTTTTTTTTTTGTTTTTTATTGAATTTAATTCAGATTGGATCGCATCTTTTTATATTGGCCAATCTTTTTTTTTTTTTACATTCATCAACTGATCTAAGTTCAAGATTCCTCTCATTTTCAATTAAATCAAATATTACATTATATGCAAAAGTATTATTAATTATACATCATTTCGATTCCAATGCTTTTTAGTAGTAACATAATTTATTGAATTTTCAATAAATTCATTCTCTTCAGGGAAAAGTTTATTAGGATCAACTTTTTTAAGGATTTGATCTATGTTACTACTCGTTTCGTAAGGATTTTGATGTAATTCCTCAACTCCTATATTTGTTCCTCTTTTCTTCCGAGAATTTTTATATTTGGATCCTAAAGGCCTGCCACACTTCAGGCGTACATTCGATTCATTAGCACTTTACATTTGTTCTTCGGGGATAATAATTTTAGCCAGTGCATTCTTTGCACCTATAAATGATCTAGGGACTTTGTTGGTGTCACAAAAAGTATCAGGTAACTGATTTGCTATTTGCTAAAAATATATAATTCATTACACTTCTAATTAAAGAAAATTGAAAATGTATTTTCCAAGTAATTTTCTTTTTTAATTAATAAGCTTATTCCCTTAATGTCAAAAAATACAACTTGTCAAAATGACAATCAACAAATCAAATTATAAAAAAATCATCAATTAATAGTTTAAGATATTTAATAATAGATGGTGATTCATACCCGGCATATATAATGTCTTAATTTCGGAGTGTATAAAATAATATTATTATATCAAATAAATATTTTGATAATAATAATGAGAGCAAGAAATTAATATTATAGAATAAATTTTATTTCTATTTTGTATGTCGACTATATTAAAAAAAACTCTTAAAAAATAAATAACGATAAAGATAAATATAAATATAAAATATAATATATAATAATATTAATATAATACAATATAATATAATTGTATATATATATATAAATTTAATTAACGAAACATACCAAAAACCCTTACCACGAAGGAAAAGAAAGAAATGTCAGAGAGAAGAAGAGAATGAAAGGGAAAAAAAAAAATTTAGTCTGTTCAATTTCAATTCCGACTTTGGTGTTGTATTCCTTGAGTTTAATTATAGTTTTTAATATGAATTTAGATATTAAGATATTAAATTAGAAATTCTTCAAAAATTTATAATTGACTATTTAGCTATTTAATCGACGGATTTACTTAATTAATAACCTTATCGTAATCTTAGGATCATATTATAAGAATTTCATATCAATCCAAGCGGAATTGGAACGGCAATGTATTGCACATGCATGTTTGAACATATCTTTAAAGATTTTTATTTAATAATCGAACGATATAAATATTAGAAGGTACAAGAGTTTTATAGCTATAGCATAGTATTCTACCAAATAAAAATGTTTGAAACCCAACAAGCTAATTTGATAAATTAGATTTGAATAAGAAGATACTTCCTATGAATGAGTATGTATCTTATTTGATTTAAGGAAATAATTGAATAGGTGTATGTTGAAGGAGATTTGGCTAAAATTGCAAAAGCAAAGAAGTTTCGATAAAGGGATAAACAGTAGAAAATTAAATCTAATTTTAAGAAATTAGGTATGCATGTTACATGGGATTACGATTATAATGTTAATGTGCTATTATCTGGATAATGTTGTCAGTGCATGTATAT